TGGCTGGCTGTCTCTCTGTATGGCTGGCTGTCTCTTTGTGTGGCTGGCTGGCTGGCTGTCTCTCTGTATGGCTGGCTGTCTCTGGCTGGCTGTCTCTCTGTATGGCTGGCTGTCTCTCTGTGTGGCTGGCTGGCTGTCTCTTTGTGTGGCTGGCTGGCTGGCTGTCTCTCTGTATGTATGGCTGGCTGTCTCTTTGTGTGGCTGGCTGTCTCTTTGTGTGGCTGGCTGGCTGTCTCTCTGTATGGCTGGCTGTCTCTTTGTGTGGCTGGCTGTCTCTCTGTGTGGCTGACTGTCTCTTTGTGTGGCTGGCTGTCTCACCTTTCTCTCCATTGATGTCTCCTGGTTCTGTCTGCTCCAGATGCATTGCACATGCGCAGAGCTAGGGAGCGTCTTACAATACCTTCCCCGGGAAAGTCAGGGAACGTCACACAATAATCCTCAAAGGTTGTAGAAAAGCTTCTTTCTCTAAATCAGGGTCAAAAAATAAATAGCACAAATTAATTAATCAGAGTTTAATTAAACCGCTTTATTGTAAGCCACATAATTAATAACACAGGGTTTATTAAACCGGTTTGTTGTAAGCCACCTAATTAATTAATCAGAGTTTATTAAACCGGTTTGTTGTAAGCCACATAATTAATAACACAGGGTTTATTAAACCGCTTTATTGTAAGCCACATAATTAATAACACAGGGTTTATTAAACCGGTTTGTTGTAAGCCACATAATTAATAACACAGGGTTTATTAAACCGGTTTGTTGTAAGCCACCTAATTAATTAATCAGAGTTTATTAAACCGCTTTATTGTAAGCCACATTATTAATAACACAGGGTTTATTAAACCGCTTTATTGTAAGCCACATAATTAATAACACAGGGTTTATTAAACCGCTTTATTGTAAGCCACATTATTAATAACACAGGGTTTATTAAACCGCTTTATTGTAAGCCACATAATTAATAACACAGGGTTTATTAAACCGGTTTATTGTAAGCCACACGCAAGATAAATAACACAGGGTTTATTAAACCGGTTTGTTGTAAGCCACATAATTAATTAATCAGAGTTTATTAAACCGGTTTATTGTAAGCCACATAATTAATTAATCAGAGTTTATTAAACCGCTTTATTGTAAGCCACATAATTAATAACACAGGGTTTATTAAACCGGTTTATTGTAAGCCACATAATTAATAACACAGGGTTTATTAAACCGGTTTGTTGTAAGCCACCTAATTAATTAATCAGAGTTTAATTAAACCGGTTTGTTGTAAGCCACATAATTAATAACACAGGGTTTATTAAACCGGTTTGTTGTAAGCCACCTAATTAATTAATCAGAGTTTATTAAACCGGTTTATTGTAAGCCACATAATTAATAACACAGGGTTTATTAAACCGGTTTATTGTAAGCCACCTAATTAATAACACAGGGTTTATTAAACCGGTTTATTGTAAGCCACCTAATTAATAACACAGGGTTTATTAAACCGGTTTATTGTAAGCCACCTAATTAATAACAGGGTTTATTAAACCGATTTATTGTAAGCCACACGCAAGATAAATAACACAGGGTTCATTAAACCGATTTATTGCGAGGCATGGGTACAGTTCCACATAATAAAAATTTGTGTTTAAACTAAAAGAAATTTGTTTAGATTGAAATTATTGTTCTTGGGTACAACATCCATTTTTAGATAGACCACAGAGAATAGTCAATAATGTAAATTTTCAAGCTGGACGAAAGTGGTTAGGGATGTCTGACATAGCTCCTCCGCGAGATCCGCTTCCTCAGAACCACAGGGGACTCTGGAGCAGTTTAGACCCAGTCACCAAAGCTTCACTGGGGTCTCTCAGGCACTCTTCCACCAGACCATGACCAAAACACAGAGTTCTAAATGGAACTAAAACACACAACTTTGTTTTTGACATGGGCTATCCTTTGGTGACTTGTCCTACAATAAGTGGTGAAATCCGCATTAACATAGAAACATAGAATGTGACGGCAGAGAACCATTCGGCCCATCCAGTCTGCCCAATTTGGCCTTATCTTATAGTTAGGATAGCCTTATGCCTATCCCACGCATGCTTTAACTCCTTCACTGTGTTAACCTCTACCACTTCAGCTGGAAGGCTATTCCATGCATCCACTACTGTTACCGGGAAACTGACGGAGGCCAAGCACAGAGAGATGGACACAGGTTTCTTCAGGAAGGAAGAGATCTTTATTCGATTCACCGACCGGGACTCAGAGGGACTTATGTCACCAAAAACAGCAAAGATCTGAGTACTGAATACATAGAGTAGATTCCTTATATAGCACTGTAGCCCCTCCCATAATTAGCTACACCCACACATACCCTTAACCTAATCAATGAATTGAGTCTAAACTCATCCAACCGGTCTAACCACGTGGCTCATCTGAAACAAAGGAGAGGGACGCGTAATTCCAGTTCCTGCATTCCTGCACATGCTCAGTACAGTGATGACAGTATCTTAGCTACGTGTAACTAACTAACTGATACTACAAACACATGTACCTACATATGCCTTGTGGCAATCTTGGCCTGCTAAACTTTTATTTTACTGGAATTCCATCACATTCCCCCCTTTGATGCTTCTGATTTAAAATAATTCCAGATGCATCACCAATCATAGTTTGCTTACACCTCAAGTTGCCATAAACCAGACTAGACTTTGCGATCCTCTAAAGATACGAACCCCTCAACATTCCTCTTCCTGCATGTTTTCTCCTTGATCTAGAGCTTCATACCTGCAAACAGCCATTACCTGTGCTGCGGCCTTTCTTTCTGTTATACTTTCTATAATGCTCTGCATAGACCTAATTACCAAAGGAATCAGACATGGCAGAAGGAGACACAACATCAAAATCAGTATGACTCCACCTACCAATGCCTTTATTCCTCCAAACTGCTCATACCAACTACCAAACCAATTACTCGGATTATACCCTTTCCATACCTGAGTAGGTACATGTGCTAGCTTAACCATATGGCTAGTAAGCTCAGCCACTGCCTGCCCTTCATCATCTTTGTGCAGACATTAGTTACTTAGATTAAACTTCCCGCATACACCTCCCTCTACTGCCAATAGGTAATCCAAAGCTAATCTATTCTGGTAGATGGCTGTCCTCATCCTAGTGTTATGCTTCGCTAGGAGATTGAGCGCTTGTGATGTTTCATTGGTAACTATCTCAACTACTGCTTCCAATCTTATAATACGATTAAGCATATATATTGGGATTCTGTATCCATAAGTACCATCCTCTGCCCACGTAGCTGGCCCATAATAATCTATAATACGCTGGGGAGGCCACTCATCATCTTCCCAGGTACCTATCTTTAGGGGTGCCCTTTTCTTCCTATGATTTACATCATATACTTTAACTCCCAAAGTCTCTCCTGTTTCAATTGGCAACAAGAAGAAGGATGGTTTGAGCATACCCAATACACATGCCCCTTCCCAGTCCTGTGGTAACTCCGAATATGCTTTCTTACCACAAATCCAGTACAAATTTGCTGGGGCTTTCCAACTAGATGTAGCAGATAGGTCAAACCATACATACTTTAAATTGGTATAATTTGCAAACGGATTAGACGGTTCTGAGACATTTGAAGCTGACCACCAAATAGTATCCTTTGTATCGTCATTATAGGCTTTCTGCCCTAAACAAGTCAATTCTCCTACAGATGTATTAAACATTATTCCTTTCCTTGCTATACAAACATAACCTATAATGGAGGTCTTTAATCTCAGATTTACCTCTAACACTCACTTGATAATCAGATTGAGAAGATATTAGTTGTTCAACTGTCTCAGAACCAGAATACATTACCTCCTTTGCTTCCCAAGGCCATTGGTCTCCCATATTAGTACCTCCACACACATAGCAGTTGGTTACATTAAGACTACCAGCAATGCTCTCAGCTAGGTCTATGAATAAGTTTTTGGCATTATGGGGAACCTTATCTTTCCACACTCATCTCCTCATAAAAAGAATGGAAAACCTGATGAGTCTGGGGGGCCACTGTATCTGTCTCTATTCCTATGTATAATATCGTCCCAGGATCCAAACCTGTTCCATATATTTGGAACCCAAATAGATTCCCAAACTTATCTATAAATAGCTCTGGGTCCTTGATAAGTATATGGACTTGGTTACACTCCATAGACTTACAATATGGCTTGGTAGGCAATCTAGTGATAATCATATCCTTATCTACTGTCTGTCCCCAGGTTGCCCATCCCACACAGGACCAATACGGACAATAATTGTAGTCTTTATATAGGCAGTTTGGATCTATATACTTATGCTTATTACTAGGACAAATATACTTATCATTAGACCCATATGTTCTTTCCCATTAAAGACCACCACATACATTCCATGGCTTCCTACTACCTGATATCGCCTTACATGCATCAAATAGCAAAACACCTGGAGAATGTACGCTTTCTAGTACAGTCTTATTTATCAGGTTCCCCTGTGCGTTCTCATTCCGAATAGTCAACCAAATTGTACGGGGCTGATACTCAGGATTAAAACACCTAGGTTCTCCTGCTCCTATATGGCATACACTATAATCTGTACCTAGGTATCTACACTTTGATACATGTCCTGTGCACTCATATTGCGAATGCCAAATAAGGGTCTGGGAAATAAGATTGCCTGTTTTCGTAGTCTTAATGCAAACCTCGCAGCCTGGTGTGTCGGTACCTCTACCTTCCTGAATAATTAAAAACACACATATATACATCATCAAACACATTACTCCTGACATCTTCTTCCTAATTCTTCGACCGTGCGATGGCACCTCAGCTTCCAGGCGTGTGAGGGCTGCAGGGAATGGAGTCCTTCTGATCCTCACTGTTCTTCACAGAGGATTCCTCTGGCTTAAACATTGGTAGGTGGTCAGGCTTTATTGTGGCCGTCAAAACACCTACTTGTAGATCTTTGTTGATGTTCCCTTGTTACAATACTCTTCGCAAAAACCACTTTTAATCTACCTGGGTCACTCGCTTCAACCGGATCTTGCAGGGATTCTCAGGATCTTGAGTAGCTTGCCAAGAATCTGCTGCTGGTTTAACCCTGGAGTGATGAATCTACGGAGTCACCTCTGCCACCTTTATAGCTGTTGAGTAGACAAAAGAACAGCATAAGGACCCCTCCACTTTGGCCCCAACGGTACACTGTTCCACTCCTTTATCCAAACTTGGTCTCTTGGATGGTAAGAATGGACAGGTGGATAAATATTTACAGGTAACCTATCTTGTACCCATTTCTGTACCTCCTCCATAGTTTTACCCAACTCTACAACCTGCCGCTGGGTAATTCCTTCTCCCAACTGACTCCCCCCCTTAAGTTACTAAGTATGGGAGGTGGACGCCCATACATAATTTCAAAGGGTGATAGACCTAACTTTCTGGTAGGTGTACTACGAATGCGCAACAGAGCTATTGGCAAAAGAACATTCCACTTGAGTTGGGTTTCTTGACACATTTTTGCCAACTGGGTCTTAATGGTTCTGTTCATCCTTTCCACTTTCCCAGAACTCTGAGGCCTATATGCTGTATGAAGTTTCCACTTAATACCAAGCATATGAGTCAGTTGTTGTAGGCACTGATGGACAAAAGCTGGACCATCATCTGATCCTATAGAACACGGTAGTCCATATCAGGGTATTATTTCTCGCAACAGAAATCGCACAACTTCTCCTGCTTTCTCTGTACGAGTTGGACACGCCTCTACCCATCCTGAGTAGGTACACACAGCTACTAGTAGGTAACGATGTCCGCTGGATTTGGGCATTACCGTGTAGTCTATTTGGAGATCGGACATAGGAAGCCCTCCCATGTACTGGACTCCCGGTGGTTTCACTGGACCTTGCCTTGCGTTGTTCTTGGCACATGACACGCATCTTCGAACAATGGCTTGAGTCAAGTTGGACAATCTTGGTATGTAGAAATGCTTCCTAAGAGATTCTTCCATACTATCTCTTCCAGAATGTGTCCCATTATGATAATTCTGGACAATTTCTACAGCTAGCGATGCTGGAATAACTATTCTTCCATCTTCTAACTGATACCAATTATTCTCCAAATATTTCCCAGCTTCAGTCTTTAACCACTCTACTTCTTGAGCTGTATAAACTGGAGTCCACTGGGACAGAGGGGTCGGTATAAGAGCTGCTACACACTCCACATATTCTTTTTGTCCGGATTCAGCGGCATGCTTAGCTGCACTATCTGCCATCCGATTTCCTTTCACCACATCACCATCACCTTTCAGATGTGCTCGACAATGCATGATACCAACTTCCTTCGGCTCCCATACAGCTTCCAATAGTTGTAATATCTCAGCTGCGTACTTGATTTCTTTTCCTTCTGAGGTCAGTAATCCTCTTTCTTTATACAAAGCTCCATGGGCATGAGTGGTTAAAAACGCGTACTTTGAGTCTGTGTAGATATTTACTTTCAACCCTTCAGCCAATTGCAAAGCCCGTGTAAGTGCGATTAATTCTGCCTTCTGTGCTGATGTTCCTTTTGACAATGGCCGCGCTTCTATCACCTTGTCTATAGTTGTCACTGCATATCCGGCATAGCGAATCCCTTCTTTCACGTAACTACTGCCGTCCGTGTAATACTGAACATCGGGGTTCTGGATGGGAAAATCATGAAGGTCCGGTCTACTTGAGAACACTTCATCCATTACCTCCAGGCAATCATGTCGACTCTCAGTAGGTTGCGGCAAGAGGGTAGCTGGGTTCAAGGTATTAACAGTCTCAAGATGCACTCTCGGGTTCTCGCATAACATGGCTTGATACTTAGTCATGCGGCTATTGCTAAACCAATGATTACCTTTATAGTCTAGCAACGTCTGTACTGCGTGCGGGACTCGCACATAGAGTTCCTGACCCAGAGTGAGCTTGTCAGCTTCTGCTACCAACAGGGCGGCGGCAGCTACGGCCCTTAGACAAGGAGGAAGACCACTGGCTACTGCATCCAGTTGTTTGGACATATACGCAACAGGTCGTTGCCATGATCCCAGATACTGTGTCAGTACTCTCACAGCCATCCTTCTTTGCTCGTGTACATATAAGTAGAATGGACGTGTATGATCAGGTAGACCTAATGTGGGGGCGCTCATCAATGCCTTCTTAACATCCTCAAATGCCTTCTGCTTTTCGATGGTCCACAGGAAGGAATCATGTTCCGTGGCTTTAATAGCGGCATAGAGGGGTTTCGCCAGTATCGCATAACTGGGATTCCATATCCTACAGAAGCCTGCTGCCCCTAAGAATTCTCGCACTTGTCTTCTATTCTT